TTTTCACGGGCATCAGGTGCCCTGGGTCACCTCTGCTGTGGCGCGTTCGTAAGACTCACAGTTTCTGTGATAGAAAAATTAGCAGCTGGAAGAGGAATTGCTGTATTTTTTTTTTTTTAATTTTAATGTCTATTTATCTTTGAGAGACAGAGAGCACTAGCGGGGGAGGGTCAGAGAGAGAGAGGGAGACAGAATCCGAAGCAGGCTCCGGGCTCCGAGCTGCCAGCACAGAGCCCGACGCGGGGCTCGAACCCACGGACGGCAAGATCGTGCCCTGAGCCGAAGTCGGACGCTCAGCCGACTGAGCCCCCCGGGCGCCCCAAGGAATTGCCGTGTGATAGCAGTTCCGAGAGGCGCAGCCACCTGTCCGCTAAGCAGTCCCATTAAAGGCATCAGCCCAGGAGCTTCTGTCTGGCCCCCTGGCGTCTGTGTGGCATTTGTTGACGGGGGCTGACCACTTTGTGAATCTTCTCTTTCTGTGGCTTCCTTGACACATGTTCTCAGCTTCTCTCTCTCTTTCTCTCCGTCCACTGTTCCTTCTTTGTCTTTCTTACCGGTTCCTCTTGTCCCTTCCAGTGACTCAATGCGTTTATTCACTTCTATAAAAAAGGACGTGCAGTGCCTGTTCCGTGGGTGAGGCTCTGTGCTCGGTCCTGGGGAGACAGCGGCCAGCTAGACGGGCTCAGTCCCTGCCTCGGACACTCAGGGGCCAGTAACCGCCGGTGCCTGGGGCCTCTTCCCTTGGATCGTGAGCTTTGTGTGTGTGCAGGCTGACCCCGGGCGCGTGGTGCCTGCTTCCCAGCCGGTGACGGTTCTCCATGTCTCGCTCTCCTCTCCCGTTCTGCTATTCTCATCACCACCCTGACGTGAAGACGCAGGGTCACTTGTGTCGGCCTCTCTCCCTCAGTCCAGAACCCCCGCCACACGGCGAGCCTCGCGGCCTCGAGTGCCCTCCCGGCTCCGACCCTGCCCGAGCGTCGGCAGCAGCTGCCCGAGACAGCACGCCTCGTCTCCCGCCTTTCCTCAACACCCGGGCCTCCCCCCTTGTCTTCGGGGGACGCCTGGGCTCTGGAGCCCTAGCAGCCACCCCCGACGCTCCTCAGGCCATCTGCACCCTCCAGTTGAGGATCGTTCCCTAGACGTCGGAGGACGACGTCTCCGCCCCGCCAGGAACTAGTGGGATTCCTGCCCAGGTGGAACTTTCGGTCAACCTGAAGATGTTTCTGGAGGCAGAAATGCACAAAAAGGAGACTTGTTCTCTGGCTCTGGCAAGAATATGGACCGAGATAATGTTGACACACACGTGCCCACACACACACACACGCACACCTTCCTACAAGCATCTCGAAAGGCAAGATAAAATATTACAGCCTCTCCCCTAAAATGCTAACCCACAGCGGAATTTACGAGGGAGAGAGGAAATCCCCAGATGAAGGAAGTGGAGGGAGAACTGGAAACCAGGGCCTGAATGGATGAACCGAGGCCACGGCTAGGTCGTTATCGGCCGCAGTGATGCAGAGCAGGGATCGACTCGGTTCTGTGAAAAGCCAGACAGGAAGTAGTTTAGGCTTTGCAGACCACCGGCCGCGTGTCACATCTACTTCTTTGTCTTTTTTGACAACCCTTCAAAAATAGAAAAACCATTTCTTGGCTCAGGGGCTGTACGAAAACAGACCGCCAGCCAGGTTTGGTGCACAGGTCCACAGTTTGCCGACCCTTGATGTAGAGACTTGGGTCTATGTCCGTATGAAATCAGGGGGAGAACTCTTAGGTCCCCAACAGGGGGTAGGTCTCTCAGAAGATCAGATCATCAGAGAAAGAGGGTGTCTTGGGAAAAAATCGCCCACTCTCATAGGGAGATGATAAGGAGGCTGGCCATGTGTCTTTAAGTCCCTTCCTTCTTAATGTTTAAAACGATGGGCGTGTTCTGCCTTACATGGGTTGAATTGAAAATACATACTACTTGGACTGCATTGGACCCTGGAGGTCTGTGGAGAGGATTCAGGGCGTCTGTGAACTTGGGTGGGAAAGCAAATTGCATTCTTACTTCTACTAACTTCTAACGGAGTGCAGCCTTTTCCTCAGTTAAGATCGTAGGCAGGTAACCACAGTGGCTTTGTCACCAGTGGAACTCACAGGCATTTCCACATCAAAATAGAGTGTGTTATTATGATCTCAAAATTTTTAAACGTATATCTGACATGCATGTTTCGTTACAACCGGGAATTTTAAAACATGCTTCTGAGTTAACTGTTGGGCCAAAGAAGTTGCCTAAAATTTTGAAAGACGTGGAGTTTAGAGACGAAGAACAGTGCAGCTTTTTCATATGAGAAGTTGTAGGCTTACAGGGGCCCGTACTTAGAAGAAAGATGGCAAATGAATGAGTTGACTTTCTGTTCAAGAGGTTAGAGAAAAAACATCAGGGTGAAGCCAAAGGAAGTCTAGGAACAGAAGGATTAATGAAAATAGATGCAGAAATTCAGTAAAACACAAAGTAAATGATAGGTGGTCAGCAAAGTCAGGACTTATCCTCGGGGGGGGGGGGGGGGGGGCGCCTGGGTGGCTCAGCTGGTTAAGCGTCCAAGTCTCAGTTTCGGCTCAGGTCATGATCTCACAGGTCATGGGTTCGAGCCCGGTGTTGGGCTCTGTGCGGACAGCACGGAGCCTGCTTGGGATCCTTTCTCTCTGCCCCTCCCCCACTCACGCTGTTTCCGTCTTCCTCAAAATAAATAAATAAATAAATAAGCTTAAAAAAAACTAATTCTTGGGGCGCCTGGGTGGCGCAGTCAGTTAAGCGTCCGACTTCAGCCAGGTCACGATCTCGCGGTCCGTGAGTTCGAGCCCCGCGTCGGGCTCTGGGCTGATGGCTCGGAGCCTGGAGCCTGTTTCGGATTCTGTGTCTCCCTCTCTCTCTGCCCCTCCCCCGTTCATGCTCTGTCTCTCTCTGTCCCAAAAATAAATAAACGTTGGAAAAAAAAAAAAATAACTAATTCTTGGGAAAGTTGAACAAGAGGCATCTTGAGGCTAATCAAGAAAAAGAATGCTCAACTACGTGGTGTCAGAGACGAAAAGAAGGACGCGGATAGAGCACGGTGTTGAAATTATAAGCGAACATCACGAACAGTTTTACGCCAGTACTTTCGAGCACTCAGAAAAAAATGGGCAGTTCCCCAGGAAAATATAACTTAACAAAACCGGCTCAAGAAGAAGGGAGAGCGGGGCTCCCACGTCAGAAACCGTCCAAGCCTGTCGGGTGAGTGTTGAGGACACGCCTCGTAACGGTTCGTCTGTTTGCTCAACAAATATGTGTGGAGCCTCTGCTCCAGGAGCCATCAGAGAAGCTGGGGTGTGAGCAGCAGGGGAAGTCATCACAGCTCGAGACCTTACGTCAGTTCTGCCCAGGAGGACTTCCTGTGATGAAGGAGGTCTCTGTTGTCTCTGTCCAGCACGGTGGCCATTGGCCACAGGTGGCTCTTGAGCACTTGACATATGGTGAGTGTAAATGAGAACTGAGTCCTTTAATTTTATCTTTTGAATTTTATTTTTTTTATTTGAGAGAGAGAGTATGTGCAAGAGCGGGGGTGGGGTGGAGAGAGAGAGAGAGAGAGAGAGAGAGAGAATCCCAAGCAGGCTCCATGTCCTGCACAGAGCCCGAAGGGGGGCTCGATCCCACCACCCTGGGATCGTGACCTGAGCCGAAATCAAGAGTATGACACTCAACTGACTGAGCCACCCAGGCGCCCCTATTTGATTTTAATGTTGATTTGTTTTTGAGACAGAGAGGGACAGAGCATGAACAGGGGAGGGGCAGAGAGAGAGGGAGACACAGAATCTGAAACGGGCTCCAGGCTCCGAGCCGTCAGCACAGAGCCTGACGCGGGACTCGAACTCACGGACCGCGAGATTGTGACCTGGCCGAAGTCGGAGGCTTAACCGACTGCGCCACCCAGGCGCCCCATAATGTTTATTTATTTTTGACAGGGGGTGGGAGAGACAGAGTGCAAGTACGGGAGGGGCAGAGAGAGAGGGAGACACAGAATCGGAAACAGGCTCCAGGCTCCGAGCCGTCAGCACAGAGCCCGACGCGGGGCTCGAACTCACCGTGAGATCATGACCTGAGCCGAAGTCGGACGCCTAACCAACTGAGACACCCAGGCGTCCCACCCCTATTTAATTTTAATCAATTGCAATTTAAATAGCTCCATGTGGCCAGCCGGCAGCTAGTTAATAACACCAGCAGGATGTTAGTGACTTTAAGAGCATAGGGAGTGGACTCCTGGGACTGACCTCTCTGGAAACAGCTTCTCAGTCTGAGGTGGGCAGTCCTGTCGGCCAAACCACCATGTGACCCCGTGCGCTTGACACACACCCCCCCCCCCCCCCGTTACTTCCCAGACGCATCCCCACGCTTTGTTTCCTCGCTTCCCTCTGGGGGCCTCGGTAGCCCCAGGGTCCTCCGGCAAGTGGACGTTTTTGGAGCCCTGACTTTGCAGTAGTCCGTCCATTGGCTGTTCTGACAGATGACTGACATAAGCGTCTCGGGCTCCAGAAGAAAAGGCCAAGCCACGTGGAGACAGTGGAGAAAGTGGATCCGAGACTGAATACTGCCGCGCGAACCCCAGAGCCCTCTGCGTTATCGATGCTTCCCCGGCGCAAACCCAAAACGGAGCCACGCTGCCCACGGAGAAGCCAGGGGCTGGGCGCGCGCTCCCCTCCTCGCCCGAGGCCCCACCCAGAGCCCCCAGTCTGGCTGGCACTTTGCTGGCACAGCTCTCGAGGTAGTGAGGCGGACAGTCTCCAGCGTCCCCGGGGCAGCTGACCACCCCCGCCCCCCGCGCACACACACACACACACACACACACACACACACTGAAGGCCGGGGGGGGGGGGGTGGGCACAGACGTGTCCATCGGCCGTCCCCTGGGAAGGTAGTTAACCGGCTGTGTGACGCCCTTCTGGGACAGATCGCTAAAGGGGTCTCTCGTGCTTCTGTTCTCCAGGGATGGTCATGGTGATTTTACTGCTGCTCGTGGCCATTGTGGTCGTGGCGGTCTGGCCCACCAACTAGTGGCAGTGAAGGGCCCCCCCAGCTGTGACACCCGCCAGCGACGGACAAAAGCTCGGCACCCCGTTGGTACGCGAGAAAGCTGCTCTCAATAAATTCCCCCCGACGCTCTGAACGTCCGCTGTGCGTTGCTTCAGTAAAGCCAAGAGTGTGACGGCTCTGGAGGGCTGCCTGGAGCCGCAGGCCCGGCATGACCCTATCGGTTTCGACATGGGGCACTGGCCCGAGGTCCCACCGGGGGTTGCACCCTGTGGCTGCCAGGTGGTTTCTGGCCACCCCGTGGTGTGCTGGGTATCCTGGGGGCACCAACAGAACAGGCAGTTTGAGGCCACGAATGTCTGTCTCCCTGGGGAAGTCATGTGCCCACGGAGGAAACAGTGAGTCCCTGTGTGTGCAGGTGGGCGGGGGGGGGGGGTGGCCTGTGTCTGTGCACCTGTCACCTGTCACCCCGCCACCGTGCCCCAGTCCCCACTCCCAAGCTTGCTGCTGTCACTCAGAAACATTGCCGGACTCTACTTGGGAAGGAGAGCCAGAAGCCAGGAGCACATCCCTTTTCCCTCTGCGACCATAAACCCATTTTCCAAGGCTGAAGCCTGATGATAAGTAACATTGAGTAAAGTGGGTGCCGCGGGACATGGTCAGGCTGGAAAGCACCGGTTAGGGCTCAGCGAAAGGTGTGGTTACGATGTCAGGAGGGTAGTGCCTTTATGTGGTGCTCGAACAGGCTCTGACCACCGTGTGCATGTGTGTGTGTGTGTGTGTGTGTGTGTGTGTGTGTGCACGAGTGCGTGTGTGAATAAGGACACAGAGGACATCTCCCGTGGGAGCGTCAGTGAGTTCCAGGTTCAAAGGCGCCCTCGGTCGGGTGTGTATAGAAAGCAGGCCGGCCGGCCGGCCTGGCTTTTCTTTCCACGGCAAAGGGGGAAAGGGTTAGGGTTGCTGATGGGGCGGTTTCCAAAGGCACAGGGTTTCACTGAGGAGGAGGAGAGAGTGGGTCAGTGGGAGGGGACCCCAGGGTCTCCCGTGGATCTCCCACATACTGCGGGCGACTGCCCTCGAGAGGGACGGGCTCGGGACCGACGACCGCGCCGTGCCAGGCGGACCTGAGGTCCAGACACCTCGTCCTCAGTCAGAGAGCTTGGTGATGACCGTGCTCGGGGAGCGGGAAATCGCGGCAGGGGGCGGGGCCTCTTCCTGGTGGCTCTTCCCTGGGGGCGCGGGCTCCCTTCAGGCTCCCGCCACGTGGGGTGAGCACACGGTCATCACATGCCTGCCTCTCTCCCGCGAGGTGGTGCGGCCCTGGGCCCTCCTGGCTTCACCGCCCGACTCTGCCCCGTGACAGCCATCAGACGGGCCGGCACCGGGCCCGCGACCGGCCAAACCCGAAGGGCCCGGGTCCGTCCCAGACGTGGGGCAGCCGTCCCGTCCACTTGGACCCTGCTCCCCACTGACCTCGGGGTCGGCCACCCCGTCAGAGCTTGGCTAGGCCTCGGGGTGAGAGGGGAGTGGGGAGGGGGCGTGAGTGGGGACTGTGCTGTCGGGCACCTGAGCTGGGAGGCAGGGGAGAGGAGGCAGACGCAGGCTCCGTTGGAGGCGGGCGTGCTCCCGAAGGACAAGGGCCGTGCGGGACAGGGGGCCAAGGGCTTGCGGCCGGCCAGGCGCCCTAGACTGCTTTTCCCTCATTGCGGGGGGTGGGGTGGGGAGGCGGGTGGTTGCTCCTGGATCACCTAAAGGAAGATCAAGAATCCGCAAAGCCACGTCATCCGGCCTTGTCGTGCGAAACCCCGAGTCCGTATAAACAGCGTCTCCAAACCCCAAACCCCAGGGTTCCAAACCCCTCCCCCCCCCACCGCTTCGGGGCTCCCGGGAGGCGGCATTGAAGGTCTGTTTGACTTTCTCACCTCCTCTTGACTTGCTCAGCACGGAGCCCCGGCAACTTGTGGGGCGTCTTTGAACCCGAGCCACGGCGTCCTGGCTCAGTCACACGGAAAGGCCTTTTCAAGCCGAACACTGAGCCGATGTCTGCATACAGCCGCTTCTGTTCTTTTGACTGAGCGGGCTCCGGGCCCGGCCCCGGCGCTGCTAGCTGGGTGACCTGGACAAGTGACTTCACTTCTCTGGACCCGCAGGCAGGGGAGGGGGTAGAAAGCCGGCCTGCGAGAACGTGAGGACCTGCCACGTGAGCCTCGGGCAGCGCCGGGGGTGGGCTGGGGGGAGGGGGGTGCGGTGTGGTGCAGGGCAGGGTGGTGCCGGGCAGGAAGGATCCCCCCCTCCTCCGCATCCTCAGGGCTGGGCTTCTCGAGGGAGACACCCACCCCTCTGAAGCAAAGGGCACCTGGCTGCGCCGAGCCGTTTCGGGCACCTGTGGCCTGGGGACCCACCCTGGAGTCAAGTGGCTTAACATAAAGGTGGCTTGTCCCAGCGTGGTCCGGCAAGGCCTGGCTTTCCCCTGTGAGCCGTCAGGCCTGCATTCCCACAGGCCCGCGGCACCGAATCGGCCGTGTGGGCGGTGAGACCTCGCCCTAAGCATAAGGAGAGGTGAGACGGGGCCTTAGCACCCGTCCCCTCGAGAGCCTTCTCCGCGAAAGTAAGCTGTATTGAAATAACAGGACAAGTATTGTTTAACTTAGGCGATTATTAATTGTAAGCACTTAAAGGCTGGATTCCATATAAAGAAATCCAGATACCTGCTTATAGCCGGTACTCGGGGTCTGTTGAAACTTCATTATTATTAATAACTGTAACTAAGCCTTAGTCTTAATTAGCCTCAGGACGATCTGCTCCTTTCAGGGTCCCCGGGGCCCCAGCAGCACCCTGGAACTGCGCGTGCATGGGGCCGCTGCAGAATTTCCCTGGCTGCCCCTCTGCTTCCAGAACCGCCGGCCCGCATCCGGCTGGGTCCTTCCTCCCAGGCCTCAGCTTCCTCGGAGCCCGTCTGTCCCGCTTCCTCGGCCCCAGGTGACAAGTGGGGGCTCTCCGCAGAGGACCGAAGACGCTCTTTCCTACCGGGTTTTCTAGCCTAGCCCAGCTCAAGTTCAACGCGGGTATTTTCCCCCCTTATTTCAGAAAGTGAGCCGAGACTCGTCTTTCCTCTAATTGCCTCGTACAATGTCAGACGTCCCCCCAGGTTCACGCCAAAAGCATTCACCGCTTCCCAGCAGTGGCTCGCTCGCGGTCCCGGGCGTGTCCGGTTCGATACGGCCGTGAGCTCACCCCGTCCACCTACCGCGTGTCTCACTGGCTCTTTTGCTCCCCATTTTTCTTGGCATGGTCCTATGTCTTTATTTAGTCTTAAGAGAGCGTGGAAAGAGAGGTCTATTCAACAAAATCCGAAGCCTAGGCTGTGTCTGCCGGGAGTGGGCGGCCCGCACGCCAGCTCGCTGTCCCGGGAGGGGACGGCTTTATGAATGTGGGGGGCCTGGCGTCCCTGAAAATGGGGCAGACGCTGGGAAGCATCCTCGCTCAGGAGGGGTTGGGCCTTTGCCTGGCCCGTAACCGCGCCGGACCCCAAGTCCCGGACAGGGCAGCCCGGCTTCCTTGTGCATCAGGGCCGTCTCCAAATGGGCCGGTCGGCCACCTCGGGCTTGCGTCCTGCACTGACTTTGGCAGGTGGCCGTGCGTCCCCTCCCCGGCTGCATGAGGCCCCGGGGCCGGGCCGGGGGTTGGGGGTGGGCAGTGGGGCTGCTTCCTTCTGGCCTGGGGCCCGGGGCCTGGCCGTGGCGGGGTCCCGAAGGAGTAACAGCACTCTCCAGGCACAGATGCCTTTTTTACGAGGGACAGAAAAAAAGCCATGTCACGAAAGCCCTTGAGAACTGGACCCTTGACCTAGGATGACCCAAGGTGAGCCTCCACCCCCCGCGTGCAGCACACGCCTCTCGGCCTGGCGACTTAGCAGGTCTCCGGTCCTCAGATACCCCACCCCCACCCCCCCCCATGAACTGGCCGGCTCCTCTCTCCTCGGCCCGTCCAGCCAGCGAGACCTGGATCGTGTCCCTGTACCCGGTGTCAGGCATCGTCATTCCAGCAGGGAGCTGGCTCCCCAACGGATGGGGACCCCGGAGACCCCCCCGGTCTGGCCCTGGTTGTTCGTGCATCTCCGTCACCTCCCCGTGCAGCCAGGAGGGGCCTTTCCCCGCCTTCCGGGGCCAGACTAGCCCGGCCGTGGAGACCCGTCCTTGAAAACAGCTGGGTGCAGAAGTGACAGCTTCCTGGTGACGATGGGCCCGGCTCCACGCTGAGTGGCAACACAACATGTTCCTAATGACCGGATTGTTTATTTAATAAAGAAAGCACAACCACTCAAGAGTTTAAACATAGCCTCTGAGAAAGCCAGCGAGCTCAGCTCCTGGTGGCCGCGTGGCACCGGCCCCAGCCCAGCGCCTGCACCGCGTGAAGCCTTTAGAAAGGGTGGCCCGAAAACCCCTCCAGGTGTCACAGACCCTGTCTGTTGTCTTTCCTCGTGAGTCTCTTCTCGGCTTTGAGCAGAAGAAACTACGTGAAAGGCGAGAATGCTGCTTTGCAGGTTCTGAGTCGGAAGGTGAAGTTCAAAGGTGCGCTGTGTCCTGCTGTTGAATCTGGGGCAGGTGACACCTCTTCCTGCTGTTTCCTGGGGCTCCCCCTGACCTGGAGCCCCAGGGAGTGGCAAGGAGGGATCCCAGGGACGGCTTTGTGGGGACTGAAACACCCATTGTCCCATCTGGGAGCATTTTGGCTCCAAATCGTGCTCGGAGGCAGCAAACCTTAGGACTCTCTCCAAGCCAAGTTGCCCTTTTCTGGTCTTTTCTGGGGTGGGTAGGGCCCTGTCTTGCTGGCGCGTTCTAAGACCAGAAGCCATATTCCTTAAGAGTTGCCTGAAGACTCCCCAAACTTTCCGCCCCCCCCCCCAACGTGCTCAAGCCGCCAATAAAGACCAGGAGACGGCGAAACAGTGTACAAGAGTTTATTTAATTGATATCTGAACTTAGTTCTATCATGTAGGGCCCATGTTACAAGTTCCGTCTGGGTCCATTACAACTCTAACAAAAAACAAAAACCAGAAACAAAAAAAGAAACTTAAAAAAAAAAAAAGAAAGAAAATCCACAACTTCGTCCATGTCATTAAATATATTCATATATAATAACCATAATATATTAGTATGCATTGGAAAGGAACACTGACCCAAACAATATGTCATGGTCAAACTAAACATTTACAATTCCGAGCGAACAGAACTCAGAACGCGGGAGGGATCTGGAGGGGGTGGGGAGGGGTGGGGGGGACAGGAGTGCCTTCAGGAGAAGAGCGGTCCGATGACGTAAGTGGGGGTGGGGCCAGCTTGGTTTGGGCTGGGGGGCGAGGCCCCACGAGAACACATTTGGACACCCCTAGTGTATGGCGTGGCCGTGGCCCGTGGCCCAGCGACCCCGTCCACGGGTCTGGTTCACCCGCTCGCCAATCTCTCTCTGGGAGGGGCTGGGGCTCCCTTTAAGTATTGACACCCTGACATTTTCCAGTGCCCCCAAGGGGCCATTTCCTGCTCCCTTGGGGACTCCTTGATCTCAGCTTTATTCCAACCTGGGGCAAACCCAAGGAAGCGTGTCCCCTTTTCCAGCGTGCTGCTGCGGAGGCTGAGGTCCAGGAGGACACGAAGGGCCTTGGGGCGCCACAGCCGTCCCTCCCGGGAGGCATCGTTCCTGTCCCTGGGCGCCTGGGGCTGCTCTCAGGACAGAAGCCACCCCTGCGGGCGAGTCCAGGGACGGCACCGCATCCTGCCCCCCCCCAACTCCCACATCGTTAGTGTTCCCGGGTGTCGGTAAAGCAGGCACTCTGCTGTCAGGGGCCCCAGACCACCCGGCAGGTGAGAAAAAGGGCAGGTGGGCGACCTGTTTTTGTTTTAAAAACTAATCAGGCATGTTTTTCTTCGAACACCTACATGGCACAACTCTGGTTAATACACTCTTCAAAGTCTAGTTCCATTTTACATCCCTTCCTAACTGTACAAACCGGAACGCCTCAGTTCCTACTTCCCTCTCCTCCCAGGGGGGCGGGCGGCCGGCAGAGGCTGCCTTCCCGAGGACGGGGCCCTCGCTGCCGGAGTCGGTGGCTGGAATCAGAGCAGCGGAGGGCCGGGTTCTGGCCCGGTCCTCGAGATGGGGAACGCAGGCCGGGAGGACCGAAGTCCCCAGCCCCTCACCCCCACGGGTGACCAGGGTGGGGAGGGCCAGGCCACGGCTGGATGGGGCGGCTCCTACCCTGGGGGTTCCGGGCAGAGGCTGAGGCCGGAGGCTGGTTGGATTTCCGAGCAGGCCGCTGTCGCCCGAGGCCTCCAGGCCAGAGGGGGCCTCGGAGACCAGCGGGGCCAGCCCCTCTGTGGACGTGGTGGGGACACTGAGACCCAGGAGGGCACAGCCCTTCTGGGCAGGGTGAAGAAGCCAGGCCAGCGGGAACAGAAACAAGACAGGGCCCTGGTGGCGGCGTGGTGCCTTCCAGGGACCGGGCGCAGCAAGTGCGGAGGCCCCAGAGGCCCGAGAGAGGCTGACGGCGCTCAGCGAAGCGGGCTGGGCCTCGAGGAGGGCCGGCTGCCTGCAGGAGACGTCCCTATGCACCCAGCCTCGGGCCTCGCTATTCCTTCCCAAGGCGGCTCTGCCTTCTCCCTGCCCTCTTAGGCTTCTCTCCCAGTCTCTCCCGGGATCCCTCCAGACACCCCCAGGCGGCCAAACGTCCTTTCTGTTAAGTCTCAGGATTCGCCAAGGCCTGCCTCCTGGGACCCGGCGCCGCCTCCCCCGTTCTCGCCACCACCTCTCGAGAGGTTACCGCGCCCGTCCCTCCCTTCCCCTTCCGTTCCCCAGGCTGCGTGCAGTGACCAGGGCCAGGGTCTCAGCCGGGAGCGCCCCGTCACAGCCTGCTCCGGAAACCGGGTACGTCGGCCACAGGGTGGCGTGCACCGAGGGGCAGCGTGGCCAGGAGGCCTGGTTCTGGAGCCTGAACCCGGCCCTGCCTCTTCCTCGCTGGCAAAGTGGGGTGAGAATCCCTCCCTGTCTCGGGGCTGTCGTGAGGGAAATGTGACAGCACGTGGGTAAAGTGCCTGGCACGGAGCAGGTGCTCAGTAGAAGGCGGCCGCGACGCGGGCCAATGCGGGGGAGGCAGAGGAGACCCAGACCGCGAGGGGCCCCAGCTTCAGACTCGGTAGGACCCTTCTGAGCAGGGAAAAGGAAACCGATTTCCTGACGGAGCGGGGAGCCGGGTCCGGAACTCGGTTTGGCGGGGGCGAGGACGTGGGCCGGAGCCGCTGGGCAGTGCAGAGAGCTCCAGGGCAGGGCGGCAGAAGGCCCCAGGGCTCAGGAACGGGCTCTGCGTGAGGCGAGCGGAGGGTCCGGGTGCTGCGGGGCTAGGCCGAGACGGCTATGGAGGGCAGCCCGGGGCCGGGGGGGGGGGGGGGGGCGCAGCAGGCATTCTTGGTCCGGCAGCCTCCGTCCCTTCCCCCCGGGAGAGGGGGAGGACCCGGGAGTGAGGGCGGTCACACGAAGTGGTCACGGCTTCCTCGGCCCACGGGAACCTGGTCATCCCTGCCCCGGCGGCCCGCCCGAGGCTCGCGCACCCTGGCACCCCCGCTGAGCCTGCAAACCCTGGCTGGCCTCGGGCAAGCCCCCTCCCCCCAGCCAGGCCCAACTGCTTGTGCAAACCTGCATTCCACGCCGTCCAGGCCCTTCCCAGCAAGCTGACGTCATTACACAAATAGCGTCACTGCCCCTTCTCCCTCCCCTGGAAAATGTCATAAAGGGGCTGGTTCCAAGTTTCCAGAAAGGAAACTCTCTGGGAGGTTTTGCCTCCGCGGTGCCTCCTCCAACAGGCGGCTCTAACGTGAGGCGCTGACCACCCGGCTGGGGCTGCTCAGGGGTGTCCTTGGGCACGGGCCAAAATTCCGGGCCGGCCCCCATCGCACAGCTGGGCGGTGACAGGCGCGGACCCCGCGCTCCGCTCCTCTGGCTCCGCGAACTAGAACCCCCACCCCACCCCACGACCCCCCTGGAGGACCGACTCAGCAGGTGGCAGCGGAGGCCACAGGCCGCCCGGGGACTGCTGGGGGGACACACCGCTCCGGCCGCCCCCAAGTGCCCGCAGGCCCCTTCAGACGGGGGCCCAAGCTGTCGCAGCCAGGGGTCCCGTGTGGGGATCCCCAGACAAAGGAGGGTCAGGGGGAAGCAGGGGCGTCTCGGTCTTCTGTGTCCCGGGTGGTGGGCGGCCGGCCTCGCTCGGCCCCCGGCCGCGGGTTCACAGTTCTCACGTCCCCTTCTCCGGGGGCCACCCCACCTGCGCGGCTGTGCGCCCGCCCTCCGCCCCCCCGCCCCGCCCCGCCCCGCCCCGCCCCGGCCGGGACC